CCCTCGTTTATCACGGGGGATCCGTACCCTGAAGCCCTGCGATAAGTAGAAAAACTGCAAAGTAGGAATATTAGTACAAGTAGTAAGTAATAGTTTATTTTATTATTTAGATGTATATTAAGATGTTTTAAACCTTTCCCACACTCTTGCAATATTCTAAACAATGTTTCTAAACTCTAAATCCTCTAAAAGAGCACAGCATGTCATGATTTCAGCTCTGCCAGCGCTCTTGGCCACGCCCACTTCTCCCGTGCAGAGCGGAGATATGACGCGCTGCATGAAGAAGCTTCTCCTGCAGCTTGGGCTGCACACTGGTGCAGGAGGAAGCTTTTTCTGCAGCTGTGGGCTGCACACAGGTGCTAAATAATTTGAAATTTATTTTAAATCTTATTTTGAAAAACCGAGTCTGCGATAAATGAACCGTGAAGTAGCGAGGGACTACTATATTTGTAGTCCATTCTCAAAAAGATGCTGGTTTGAATTTAATGCAACATTCAGAACTTTTAATTAAAGGTGCACCTCTTTGATGATGTGCTCTCACATTCTTTAATGCTAGGGAGAAAAATGTAACCACGTCATAGTAGATGATTTTATTTTCCTTATCAAAAGAAAGAACGACTTTTTTCAGTGCCTCACCCTGACCTCGTTCTGTATTTGTGACCTGGTCTCTTCACTGATTTTATGTTCATTGTTTTTGCTGTTTAGCTTCAGACTTTATAGTTTTCAAACCCTTAATTATTTGTCAAAGCATCAAGGCTAAAATAACTGGAATGAAAACACTGGTTTATGAGTCATTCATGACTAAAAGGATCCGTAGGTGGTGCCAAAGTCGTGTTTTTATTGTGAATATTGACACAACTCTATTTTTAGAATCAGTTACAGCCACATCACCTCATTTTATCTATTTATTTATTTGTTTGTTTGTGTGTGTTTTAAAAAAAAAGATTCCATGAAGTTCTCATCTTTTTAGTGTTGCACACTTTTTTTTTTGCCCAACCATAAACGGGTCTCCTTATAACTCGTATGTTTCTTCAGGACGACGCTCGGCAGCTGTTCACTCTGGCGGGTTCAGCAGAAGAGGGCTTCATGACCGCTGAACTGGCCGGAGCGATTCAGCGGCTGTGGAAAGACGGAGGTGTTCAGGCCTGCTTCAGCCGCTCGCGGGAGTACCAGCTCAACGACTCAGCATCCTAGTGAGTCAGACACGCTGACATATAGGGAGTGACTGAACTCTTAATTGGCAGAAGTACTTCATTTTCTAACTTTTTATCTGGTAATCTTTTGAGTGATATTTCTCTTTTCTTCTCTCAAAGTTACCTAAATGATTTGGACAGGATATCCAACCCTGCTTACGTCCCCACCCAGCAGGACGTGTTGAGGACCAGGGTTAAAACTACTGGTATTGTGGAGACACACTTTACCTTTAAGGACCTGCACTTCAAGTGAGTATGTCTACAATTGTTTATGTAAGTAGTGTTTTTTGTTGTTGTTTTTTTTCCTTAATTTGGGCTTTGTTTCAGTTATGATCGGTGTTTGTGTTGCCAGAAGTATGAAGGATTTGTTTTTATGTGTTAGCATCATAGTTGAAGTCGATCAATGCCTCACGTTTAGATTGATTGTCTTTGTTTCTGTGAGTCAGTTGTTAAACATTGTGTTTCTGTGATCTCAGAATGTTTGACGTAGGTGGACAAAGGTCGGAGAGGAAGAAGTGGATCCATTGTTTTGAAGGAGTCACTGCCATCATCTTCTGTGTGGCTCTGAGCGACTATGACCTGATGCTGGCTGAAGACGAAGAAATGGTAAGACCTGTCTGACCTCAGCGCGCCTCACCTTCTGCCACACGCTTGCAGCGTTACCATTGGGCTTCTCTCCTCTCAAACAGAACCGAATGCACGAGAGCATGAAGCTGTTCGACTCCATCTGCAACAACAAGTGGTTTACAGACACCTCCATCATCCTCTTCCTCAACAAGAAAGATCTGTTCGAGGAGAAGATCAAAAAGAGCCCACTCACAATCTGCTACCCAGAATATGCAGGTGAGTCACTGAGACAAACACCTGCATGCAGAGCAGGTGTTATCTACATGCAAATACTGTATTTTAGTAAGCACCCAGTGCAGATGAACTACTGACCAAGTACTTGTGAAGCTTTACAGCGAGAGCTGATTAATGGGGCTGTTATTCATTTAAATCCTAAGTGTCTTGGCTCACATCAGATCGTTTTGTTTTTAAAGAATCAGCCTGCCATGGTCACTCAGAGGTGAGGCAGGCCTCGTAAAGGAGCCAAAAGGATCATAATTTAAATACTTTGCAATGTCGAAGTGTCTAATTAACACTGTTAAATAGTATTGCTAATTTTCACGTACTTTACAAAAGCACTCCATGCTCCAAAACATTGAGACATTTAAAAAGCCTGAAAACGTATTGATCAAGACTACTTTTATTAAAGATTGTGAATAAAAGAAGTCTTGTTCTCCAGAAGCAGAGTATAAAGAACTGAGGACAGTATACTGTAATATATACACTGTTTATTCTTTAAAACCTGGCTATTTTTTCACTCAACGCATAGAGAAACTAGGGGTGGTTTTAAAGTTTTTCACGGTATTGTACCTGTTAAGTTTTTCTTGAATTTTAAAATATTTTATTTATAGGCATATGGAGTATATTGTCAATACCTGCCTCTTGTTATGATCGCCTTTAGGCCTGTCGTGATAAACAATAAATCAATTAATCGCATGATGAATGAAAATTATCTACCTCATTTTCATTTACCGGCTTTATCGTTTCTTCATGTCTCGCTCTTTCTACTGACGACACGGCTCAACTCCGGTGCTCTTCACTGACCCCTCCCTTTCTCTTTTCTCTTTAAAATATGTTTAACCGTACAAAATCGTGTTTTTGGATCTTTAAAAGTAGTTAAGCTGATTAGCTAAGCTACGAGCTAAGCTAATAGGCCGACCTCGAGAATAAACTTCTGTCTTGTCGAGCTCCAAAATTCACGGTTGAAACCCGTGCCTTCATGTAAAAAGCTGTTTTTGTCTGCAAAAAGTAGCTGAGAACTTGTTTACTGATTTTTTTATTAAACGTTTTGTGTGGAAAAATGTTATGCTAAATTTCTCAAATCACCGAGCGTTTGCCATATCACCATGCTAGCCCATGTCACGTCAAGGGGCCTCCCTCCCATTTTTTAAAAAGACACTGCTCAACTAGCCATCCTTTGGTTCAAACAGTCTTATACTGCCATCAGGTGGTCAAAAATGGTTCTACACTCCAAACAAATCAACATTTCTTCTAAAATTTGACAACTAATTATTGTTAAATTTCAAACAATATTATCGTTTATCACAATAATTTCTGAGACAATTAATCGTCCAGCAAAATTTGTTATCGTGACAGGCCTAATCGCCTTGTTATTTGCTCATTAGATGACAGCCTTTCAAACTTGAGGCTGGTTTATACTTCACAAGATGTTAGACTTCCATTCTCTCTTATGTGGTTGTGAGACGTTCTTTTTCTTATGGACATTTTATACTCGAAATGAAACTGCGGGGGAGAAGTCCTGGTAAGCCCCGCCCTCTGCAGTACACACAAACGGCAACAACAAAGTGAGAGCAGAGATGGGAAAGTAGATGCTTTAAATTTCCATTTGATGATGGAGAAGTTAGAGGACGAAAATCTGGTATCACTATTAGTGAAGTGCCACTTTTTAATATTTTAAAAAATTTTGACTCTTTGTTTTGCTGGGACAGTTGTAAAGATGGCTGCATTTTCTAATAGCCTCAGCTGAGCAGTTAAAGGATATGAGACCAGCGTACTGTGGTCCTCGAGGTGGGACAAGATAAAAAATGATTCATTTTCGTCTCGCAACCACATCAACTAGAAACAATTTCAGACCTTCTTATGAAGTATAAATTAGCCTTTGTCGGCCGTGGAAACAACATGATCTATCCTCCAATTGTCCGGTGTTGCAGATGCTGCCTATTGAACGTCTGATGTTTTTAACAGGGTTTATTACATGACATCAGGTCTTACTTTCTATAGACTCGAAACCTGTTGCAGAAATTGTTTTTTTTTTTTTTTTCTCTCCTGTACTGTGTGGACTGCCTCAAGTTTAAACTCTGCTCTGCACCAATCTGATGTATAAAAATCAAAAGGTCGCTTAGGGATGCTCAAACTGGGAAGTCAAGTGACTGAGTAGAAACTAATGAAATTCCTACTAACTTAATAAATTGAACTGAACTGAATTGTTTTAGCTTCTTTCTTGGGTAAAAATTTTGGTACCACTTTACAATAAGGCTCCCCTTATAGATGGCTAATAAATAGTTTATATATACATTATTAATTCCTCTATAAACACTTTATAAATCATTAATTGCTTATTATGCATTAATTAAGGGTGACAGCGAGATGAAACGGACCAGTTTCTTGTCAAATAGTGAGACAAATCTGTTCACCTATATATTTCATCTAGAGTTGTTCTATTAAACATTTCAGACTAAGTTACTACCTTGTAAGCACAATAAACATTTGTAAACCTATATCTTTAGCATATAATATTGTACTTTATCACTGCATTATAAGTATCTACAACTAATATTATATCCTAAAAAAATTAGGTTTACAAATGTTTATTGTGGTTACAAGGTCGTAACTTAGTGTGAAATGTTTAATTTAACAACTCTAGATGAAATATATAGGTGAACAGATTTGGCTCACTATTTGGCAACAAACTGATCATTTGTCTCTTTCTCACCCTTAATTAATGCATAATAAACAATTACCAGTAATAATGATTTATAAAGTGTTTATAGAGGAATTAATAATGTATCTATAAACTATTTATTAGCCAGGGGAGCCTTATTGTAAAGTGGCACCAAAAGTTTATTTATTTCAGTCTATCCTGCACATCAGTGACTGGTGTGGTCAAAAAATGTTGTGTCAAAATCCTGACATCAGACGTCCAAATGTCACCGCAGGAAGTTTGGAGATTCAGCCATTAGAAGTCTCCAAAAGTAACATTCTTATGAAGTGTTGAACTTCTGTAAATAACACTATCAGTACTACTTGCAGTACTTTACAGTTAATAAAAGCTGCTGAATAAAGTATTTTAATGAAAATTACCAGTGGTAAAGTTAATTATTTGTGTTGTAGATGAAAGCTGCAATAACTTAGCAGAAATAATGAAACGTTCGATTTTATCCTTGATTTCAGTCTTTTTTTTAGGTGGTCTGATGAACTCATTGTTGTAGATTGAAGGATTTATCTAATGTACAGATATGTGATGGCTTCCTGACATGAACAGGTTTATTCTTTTTCCCCTGTAGGCTCCAACACCTATGAAGAGGCTGCAGCTTATGTACAGTGCCAGTTTGAGGACCTGAACAAAAGAAAGGACACCAAGGAGATCTACACCCATTTCACATGTGCCACCGACACCAAGAACGTGCAGTTTGTGTTCGATGCCGTCACCGACGTCATCATCAAGAACAACCTGAAGGACTGTGGCCTTTTCTGAAGGTATCAGTGGCTGTTTTACTCTCCAGCTGGACGCCTCACATCCGTTTGCTTCTAACCGCGTTGCCTTTGTTTTTCTTTCTGTTCAGGCAGAAGTGACTTTATTGAAGTGGAGTCTGAGTGGAGGAACCCTTGTGGACCCTGCTGAGAATGTCACCTTTAACCTCTTATTAACTTACAGTCATCTCTGAAGTGTGTAGGGAAAACATTTTGTGTAAAATATTTGTACAACAGTCTATGGCCAGGAATTTTTAGGAGTTTTTAAAATGTGTTTTATCATAATTTAATTTTTTTTTTTTAATAAATATACATGAAGGGGATTTTCTTTGTCCATAAATGAACACTTTTTTTTGTTTGTAGCTGTTCTTGCCTTGCATGCCTTAGTTACGTTTTTTTTTTTGTTGTTGTTTGTCAAATTAGGTTACATGTAGTTGCCACCATCCAACTTTCCAACAAGTCCCCTGATTTCACATTATCTGTTTCTTTCCCAAAACTCAATTTTTGCTTAATTTTTGTCTTCTCCAACTACAAAACAAGCAAGACCAAGTCACTCTGCAGACCAGTTCACTCTGACGCTGACAAACTGTGAGAGCTGTGTGGAAACGTGTGTGTGTGTGTGTGTGTGTGTGTGTGTGTGCGCGCGCGCGAGAGAGAGTTTTGTTTTGACTGAAGCCAAACGCCTGTTGGAGTGACTGCGTGAGCGAGTGTGAGCACAATATAAACAAAAAGGGACTTTTATTCCTCTACTTGTCATCCTCTTTCAAAGTTTTATTTTTCTAAGAAACCAAAAAAGAAGCTAATTGCGACATTGAAGAGTGCACAAACAAACATTCCTGGGTAGAAAATGAAGGCAGGAGGCTTTGAAACGAGGATGGCAGCGGTGGCCTTGTAGCAGATTGTAGATCTGTGTGTAGGTCTGTGTTCAGTGTGTAGACGGGCATCTGGCTGGGTACAAGTGCACTGGTATCAATTAGAACCTGTGATGGTTTCAAGTTGCATATCTCCCCCATTAAACTCCCCCATCCCTTTGTTTCCAGTGGATGGGGACATTAGTGAACTAATCTTCATGATTTTGCTAATAAAAGAGTTGTGGTCAAACCATGGCAACTTGCACAACAAACATGCTTTTCTTCTTCTTTTGTGTGGGTTTGAAGTAAATTTTAGATTTGTGCCACATAAATAACGTTCCTCCGATGGTAAGAATACGTAAGTGCCGGTAGTTTTCACCAGTTTTAACAAATTCTACCTCCTGAACAATGGTTTCTAAGATTCATTGTCTGCTGTCGCAAAGTAAAAAGAGGGGCTGGAAATGCCCTGCGTCCGTCCAGCTGTGCATGTTTTGAGCGTGATAACTTGGAAAATAAGTGTGGTACCGACTTCCATATTTTTTTTGCGGTTGCATCTAGGCGTATGACGGGTTTCTTTCAAAAATTGGGTTTCAATGTCCAAATCCAAGATGACCCCCCCACACACACACATACACGTCTTATGTATATACTGTATGTATAGTTAGATATGGGGTATAGATTTATATAGATATACAAATAGATATGTATGTAAATGTGTTTGTGTGTGTGTGTGGGAAACTATGCTTGCTATTTTTTTAATTGCTTAACAGCACATCCAACATTTTTCAGTCAGGTCATGTGGACAGTTTCTTTTTTTGTGCTGAAACGTTTCGCCTTCGATCCGGAAGACTTCATCAGTCAAGGAAACAAAACACAAAACTGATTCTTCCCCCAACAGCTTACTTGAAAGTGGAACGAACCAGTTCTGCTTGTGATAAGATGGTCTCTTTGGTATGCCCCCCTCCTCCATTGCCGGTCCTCTTCCTTGTTGACGGTCATGTCAAACTGGTTGAAAACCACTGATGAAGCCTTCCGGACCGCAGGCGAAATGTTTCAGCACAAAAAAAGAAACCGTCCAGATGACCTGACTGAAAAATGTTGGATTGTATACCTGGATTATCGAGCATGGTCTTTGTTGTTTAACAGCATAGTTTCTGCAAGTGACTGAGGTGGCCACAGCCTCCACTGGCCACCCCCTGGCTCTGCCATTGCACCTGGGGATGGATAAAGTTTCTCCCTCCAGGCCTCCACTCCCCACGATTCATCACCGCGAACAAGAAGGAAGAAAACTGCCTCTGTTCTTAAACGGTGTAACTCCTACCCACTTGAATATCTCGCACCAAAAACATTAATGTTTACTTGCGTTCCTTGTTCAACTCCAGTCCAGAAAAAAAACAAAAAACTGGTCTCGACTCATTCACTATTCAAATTCTTCAGCGGGGATATCAGCGTACCGCTTGCTTTTATTTGTTTAAGACGCTCATTTTGACTGCTGTTTAGTTTTAGTTTTGAATCAGAGAAAAACTTTTTGAGGGGGAAATAAGCTTAAAATTATAACTTATGACCATGTAAAAATGAAAAGAATACTTCTCCCCCTGAATCCTACATGATGAAGAGATTTAAGGGGCTTCATAAAACTATTTTAATATAAATTATATTTGTTGTATGGGGGCCTGGGGTGACTTGTTGTAAATGTCCCTCTAAGAATAAACTTTTGAAACTCATGTTCCCACATGTCAGCCAGTTAAACTCACAGCAGGTGCAGAGATCCAGCTAAAATATAAAGATAAGTTAAAATACACGACAGTGAGAAGCCTAGAGTCTGATTTTAGTTGAATTTGTGCAACTGCTGAAACACGGTCCAAGCAGAAGTTCAGCAGTCTGTTCTGTAGTTCCTTGATATTTAAGGAGTCAAAACATTGAGCCAAACACTGTACTTCATCTGTGTGTTTATAGTATAAAAAGTGCTGCACAGGTGTGTGTAGGTAGATTAAAGCATTGGGTGCTTTGCATGACAGAGTATAAGAAATCATTTCAATCCAAAGCTGCACAATTTTCTTTACCAATATTCAAGATAAAACCCACAGCTATTTTAGTTTGAATCCATTCTCTTGCTATAAAGCTTTAGACACGCCTCACAAAAACAAACAGGCTTATTTTAGTCTTTCATAACAAGAAAAAAGTATTTTGTCCTGCTGCAAATGTCTGCCTCTAGTGGACGGAATGTGTAACTGCAGGTAGAGATAAAGACTTGGCCTCAAAAAGAAAATCTTGGGATTTTTTTTATTTTTATTATAGTAAAATATTATTTTGACAAATGCATTTTGATATTTAGAAAAATCTAAACAAAAGCATCAATATTATTTAAATTAGGAGAGCTGAGCCTATTTATTTGTTTATCTTAATAATTGTTGAACTGATCAAAGTTATCCCTCTCACAATGCAGACTTTATTTGTTTATAATGCAACAGAAGTCTGACATATTTTAAAGGAAACCATCGCTGTTCGAGCTGGGGGTTTTGTTTTTGAGGAGGCTTTGTGCGATTTAAAACTAATTGCAAATTCATTTAGTTAATCCCTGAAGCCCTGCAGCAAGATCAGATGGTGTGAACGTTCAAGCCTCTTGAAAATGAAGGTGTTAGTTTGAGAGGAAAGGAAGAAATCTGTGATATGGAATCGAGCATCGTGTTGAAGCAGACTGCAGCTGCATATGAAGCCAAATCTCTTAAAAAAATAATGAATTTATATTTCTGTGAGACACTTGGAGCAATTTTCTGCAGCTTCCATCCATCCATTATCTTTACCCGCTTCTTCCTCTCTGCAGCTTCCTTTATGTTCAAAAAATGGTTTGGGATTAAAAAAAACATCTTCTAAAGATCTTTGCTAGATGAACTCTGAAAAATACTTAATTCAAATGCTAATTTTATTCTTAACTGAATCTTTATAAATAAATAAACTATGAATCAATGGGATTTATTGTGCAGAATTAATAGATTGCAAAATGTCATTCTCAGAATGAGAGAGAAAAAAAAAAGCTAAATAAATTTATCTGGACTTTGTCTCCTCACTCCTCATGAGATGGATTATATAACAACACAAAACAAGTTTGAATTAATTGAATTTGGTGTGGTAGTAGCTGAGAGTGGTCTGAAACTCACAATATTTCATGAGACCCTGAATAAAGTAATCTAGCAGGTTTTTACCAAATCTGCTCTTAGTCCATCCTCTCTCAGCAGAGGATGATTTCTCTGTAAAACTGGCCTGAACTGTGGCGGGCGATATGCATTCACCCAAGGAACGTTGGGCCTTTAGTTGTGTTAGTCACACTGTTATTATAGAAACACCAAATATATGTTATATTAACAAAAGTGCGGCTTCATGTTGTTTCATGTTGTTTTTGGAGCCGTTGTGATGGCTTACTGAGCAGCTGACTGAATCCACAACAGATCTGTGAAAGCCCAAAATCAGCAGAGCTGTGCTAATTCCACAGCCTCCTCCAGCGAGGGAATCTGTCTGGGTTTTGTGCAGGTATACCACGGCCATCACAAGTTCTCTTCATAATTAAATCTCTTTGCGAGCTTCGAGAGAAAGCCATCATGATTTACATGCCAATTCCCTGAAGCCATGGAGTCTAATTAACTTATTCTCTGTGTGAGAGGGAACCTGATTTCTAACTGATTCGCTCTCCCTGTTTCTCACAGATGCTTCTGTGTCTCCTGTTTAATTTTAGGTCTTCCCAACAAAACACATTATGGTAGCTTGGTCTGTTTTCTGTGGCTAGACAAAAAAAAACATATATATTCATCAGTTCCCCCTGTTAGTGAAGGTGACCTAACTCCCCGTCTCTTCTCAGGGCGATAAAAACAACTTTGTGTGCATTTCTTCCCAAACAACAAACCCAAGTGGAGTCGATGGAGGAGGCTGCGCAGTAAATCCATGTAAGCTCTATTAAAATTCCCCCTCCGACTGCACAGCCTGCCTCGTGTTATTGTATTTCCCCTTCTGTTGTTTGGCAATGTGCTTTAGGATGTTCATTACTTTTTGTCTGTAATGATCGTAGAAAGTAATCTCCTCATCCTTTGCTCTTCCACTCCCAGCCGGTGTGCACAAACACAGCCACAAAGACGTGTGCAGGCAGTCGGAGGCTGTGTTGTGCAAAATACCAGCAAACTCTTTGCTAGGCCAAGCATTCCTTGAAGGAATGCATATCACCCACCCCCTTTGAATTTTTAACCATTATCCTTGAGAGTTATAGCCATCCTTTAAAACCTGTTAAACATTACAAGGTGTCATGCTCAGACAGTCTGCTGTGAACGACTCTCAGCTACTAGAAAACCAAATTTTAGCTCTATATCTGTAAAATTCACTTTGTTGAAGCTGTGATGGACCTCTTGAGCTGGATTGACTCTAAACAATAAATGGTTGTAGATGCACATCCAGTGGTTATCTTCAAAAAGTTTTATTAAAATCCATCAAGTGTTTCTGAAGATATTATGCTAACAGACAAATAGGGTTACCTCTAATAGTTAAAGCCAAAGTTTTAGGTAAATATCGTATTCAATGATTAGCACATGGAGTAAGCTAAGCTGTGAACACCTCTCAGCTTCTAACATTTTTCAGTCAGGTCATCTGGACTGTTTCTTTCTTTTTTTTGTGCTGAAACGTTTCACTTTCGATCCAGAAGGCTTCATCAGTCAAGGAAACACACAACAAAACTGATTCTTCCCCCAACAGCTTACTCCAAAGTGGAACAAACCAGTTATGTTGGTGCTAAGATGGGGAATAATTAGTTTTGTTGTGTGTTTCCTTGACTGATGAAGCCTTCCGGATCGAAGGTGAAACGTTTCAGCACAAAAAAAAAAAAGAAACTGTCCAGATGACCTGACTGAAAAATGTTGGATTGTATACCTGGATTATTGAGCATTGACTTTGTTGATCTCAGCTTCTTCCACATTAAATTTTAGCTCAGTATATAAAACTGACTGCATGCTGGTTAAAGCTAGTTGACTTTGGTGACCATCTAATATCAGTTTGCTTTCCAAACAGAACTAGAGAAATTGCATTTCCTACGAAACTGCAATGTGAATGCTTATTGCAGAAGAACTTGCTGAAAACAGCTGAAAGTAGCTAAAAACATGCTGAAATGCAGCTGAAATCGAAAAACAAGTCTAAATTAGCAGAAGAAAGCAGAGTGACCATATATTTGCTCATTTAAAGTTCAATAAGCAGAAATGAGCACAAAAATGAGGAAATAAGCTAAAAAATACTGCAT